CGGGATTAAATTGGTGACTTGGGACACCTTAAATCTCCCAAGTGGAGACTCTGAAATAAACAAATAAATCCCGTTTCGATTGTCCTTTAATTGGAAAAAACTCCTTCACCCCTTGCGGGGACGGAAAAAGGAGGTGTGACACCATCCACCCACCCCAACCCCCCTTCCTCACCCATAAAATATTTGTCAACTCACATATTTTAGGGTAAAAGGTTTTTTTTTATTCAAGATGAGCATGGTTCTAAAACATGAGTCAAGTTGGGCGGATTGGGTTATGACCCATTGTTTAGCCCATCTTGACCCAGCTCATCTTAACCCAAATACACTTTGGGCTAGGTTGGGCAATGCCCCATTTATTGACCTAACCCATCTTGACCCGCCCAAATTCAGCCCAACCCGCCCATTTGCCACCCCTAAGTAGGGGTTACTACATGAGGGTCAGGCGGGGCATCAGTTGGATTATTAACAGGGCTAGTAGGTGTATCATCTAAAGCCGGTTGCGTTTCATCTAAATCATCATTTTCCTCATCATTTTCAAAGATCGTTTGATTAGGATAAATAACATTCATAACTTATTCATTTAATTGTTGACCTGGTGCAACATCATGGCAAAATTGACTATCGAAAAATTGAAAACAAGGGTTATCACTATCAAGAATAATAGGTGGAGGAGGACGGGTAACGTGTTTGGGTCGGAGAGCCGGGGGAAGAATAGTAGCTTGGCGACTAGATTCACCAATTTTAGATTTTCCCTTACCACCAAATATTTTTTTCAAAGAAAAGTCCATATTAATTATAATTATACTGAATAAAACAAACAAAACTATAATGTTAAAACTTAAGAGTTGGAACGAGTTTACCGAATTGACGAACAACTTCTTGAAAATTGAATATCGTTGAAGACTTGAAGACTTGAATACTTCAATTCATCAACTTCACAATTTTTCACGAAATTGCAATAATAAAGCAAGCAATTATAGAAGAAAATTAGAGAGAGATTGGATCCGTGTGGTATGCAAACTAAATTATAATTTCATGACTAATTTTTGTGACCGACTTATAGCCGTTTGGCCAAGCTGCAAAAATTAGCTTATTTTGAGAAGTGTTTTTTTTCAAAAGTGCTTTTCTCAAAAGTACTTTTGGTGAGAAGCAGTTTGTGTTTGGTTAATTAGTTTGAAAAGCACTTCTAAGCAGCAATTAGTGTTTGGTCAAGCTTTAAAAAATTGCTTTTAAGTGTATTTTTCTCAAAAGTGCTTCTCAAAAAAGTGCTTTTGGAGAGAGCTACTTTTTTCTGCTTTTCCAAAACTGATTCTGCTTCTCCTCAAAAGCACTTTTTTACTTTTAGAAACTTGGCCAAACACCTCAATTTTTGGCTAAAAATATTTTTGGCCCAAAAAAGTACTTTTTTCGTGGAAGTTTCTCTAGGAACATATGTTGTGCACCAAATATGTTGGTGATAAACTTTTTTTTTTTTTTATGGAATTATCCTTAACTTTGACTTTCTTTTGTGGGACCAGTCCCAAGAGAAATTGGTACGCATAAGACCTCCAAAACTAGGAGAATTTTTAAAGTGAAACGTATCTCCAAACATAATTTCAAATTTTAAATATTATTTTTTAATTAAATTTCAAATAGTACTCGCCTATTTAAATTGTTATTACTACCTATTGTTTGACTGCTATCTTTCGTTTTGGTTTTTCTTAATACCTTGTTGTTACTATTTGTTTCTGGTGATTCTTTTCATCTTTTCTTCGGCCGAGGATCTATTAGAAACAACATCTTCTGGACAGAATGCAATGCCAAGCTTACTCTATGTTCTATCCCTTATCTTTTTCTACCCCAATTGGTCATGAATGATATTTCAATTTTTGTAGCTTTCAAACATTGGCAGCCTATTTACAATGTGGAGTCATAGGAATATGTATTGCTCTTTTAGAATTGAAAAAATCTAGTTTTTTACTTTGTACAAGAGCATTTGTTTTTCAATTTCAGTAACATCAAGAAACATGTACTGAAGTTACTAATGTTGACTTAAACTTTATAATTGGTTATCTGAAAATTTTGCACATCAAATTGAAGACCTTAAAAGTAGGGGTGGGCGTTCGGGCAGTTCGGATTGGATATGAAAATTTCGGTTTGGATTTTCGATTTTCGGATTGAAAAAATAACAATAAAATCCAATCCAAATAAGTTCAAATTGGATCATTTTTTATGTTCGGATTCGGATTAATCGATTTGGATATTATGGATTTTTGGTTTTGAACGTATAAGTTGAAATGTTTCTACTTTTTACAAAAATGAATATCCAAATGAAGTACTCATGTTAAATTGCCTGAAAAGTTCCTCATTCTTTCCGCAATCATCCAAATAAAGTATTCAAATAATGAATTTATTTATAAAAAAACAACAGAGACATCAATATGACCAATAAGAAATAGCAATAGTAAAATCATGTCCAAATAGAAAATACTATGACAGTAACTTAGGAATTAATATTGAATATATGAGATAATATCTAATGTGTAGGGTATTTAACTTATTACTATTGGCATATGGATAATGGACTAAATATAAAGTATAAAAATTTCGGACTTTCGATATCCAAAAATCCGAAGTACCAAATCCAATATCCAATCCGAAATCCAAAAAATTTAAAAATTAAATCCAAAATCCAATTCGTAATCTGAAAATCCAAACAAAAATTCCAAAAAATTCGAATGTCGGTTTGGATTTCGGATTTGGGCAAGCTATGCCCACCCCTACTTCAAAGCACAAGATAAAGAACCAAAAACAATTACAAACATATGGTACTCTGACAATTATAAACCTCCTATAGAATCTACTATTAGACAACTAAAGCCATCCCATTCTTGGTTCTCCCATGAGGATAGGTCTAGTACACAATTTTCTTCTTCTTGATCGAAGCTCTCATTCAGCCTGTCGTAAGCTTTGAATTTATCTTTAAAGCTTCTCCGGCTCTAAGTCAATCTTCAGTTGGTTTATTAAGCACTCTACTAGCAACATTCGTCCATCTGAACATTGAAACAGTAACAAGAAAATGCTCCACTCCTCCACATTCAAAAAAGCTAGCTTTCTGTGTGAACCCGAACAGGAGCAAATACACACTAAATCAGAGCAAGTTTAGCTGGACTCTTTAGCATAGAGGAGAAAACCTAGTAACATAAGACTAGAGCATAGCAAGTTTAGCTGGCCACCTTAACATACAGGAGAAAACCTAGTAATTAAGAGACTACAGTTCGACTCCTACAAATGACTAGCATTACAAGAATGAATCTTATAATTGATTGATTTGTCAACATTACGTTTCATCACCAACGTTATGTACAGGGAATGAAATGGTCTTCGGGCTTTTGAGTTGACATTCTGAGATCAGTGTTTGATAGCTATACGAGCTAGTTCCTTCGCTCCAATTAGCAACGCTATAATCTTTGCATCATGCCATGCGAAATGACCAGATACATTTCCTGTATAAAAATGAAACAAACAAATGCAGTTATTACGATATTTCCTGGACATACAAGCCCCCTTTGCACTAGATCAATCTTTTTGGAGTTCTTTTTATCTAAAACTCAGCCCAAAGCAACGCATCATTACTTTTCCCCACACTACTCCCAAGTCTTAAAATAAGATAAGTACTTATTCCAAATATGTCAAACTAATACTCAAGTTGATGACGATGCATTAGAATATAGGAATAGGACGTATTTAGTACATCCAGTGACGCATTTAGTGTAGGTACCGCCTGCACTCAATGCCTTCGATTTGACCTATTTACAATTGGATAATCTTTAAAAAATTATATATTGACGCTATGTCCAAACTGACTGGAAAATAAAGGGTACAGGATACTACCTACCAATTTAAAAACCTGGATCCGCCTTAGAATACATGTTCCTTGAGCATCTCTCTCTATAGAATCGTCCGTGCTGACACTTCATGGAACAAGTGGTTTTCTATCCCAGGCCTCCCTTGCTCCAACCAAATCAGGACGGTATCTCTTAGCTAACACTTCTACTTGTGCAGCAAATGACTTGTTTTCATGTTGACTTATTTGACGAACCATCTGTTTCCATCTTTTTCGACATAACTCTCCATCCCTGTGGTCAAGAAGATTGTCCCAATCCACGTCCTCTATGCAACTTGCATCCAGTTCAAAAAGGGCATCAATTAGGCGATAGTCATCAGTGTCTGCCCATTCACCTGTGGCCACCATCGATGAAGTTAATTGTCTGTACCATTTATTGCAGCAATGTTGAGAAATCCTGGTGGACAGATTGTCACTAATTGCATTCCAGCAAATATTATCCCGTAACATCCCATGCTTAGATTTCTTCTCTTCACAGAGCTTCAGTTGCAGATCCGCGTTTACCAAATCAAACAAAGTCTGAATTTCCTCCTGATCCCAATTTCCTTTCTTCCGATTGGCTAGTTTTATCCTATGCCATGCATTCCCTACATGAACCGGATGTTTCCCAAGTTCATCAGCCAAGACGGTCCACTTGTGCCCATGTTTTCCATGGAACTTCCGTACCATCTCATACTCCTCTTCAGTCCATTTACGTTTCTCACCCCTTCGAAACAAACGCTGTGCACGAGAATAAACTGCTCTATAAGGTCTGTACGGTATAGCCTTCCCTATTTCTTTCCAGCAACCCCTTACTTCAGGATTAGATATAGAGTTTATAACCTTTTGCAACCCTTCTTCGCCCAAGTTATGTACCTCTATGTATCTATAAACAGCGTCTTTGACAATTTCATCTTCTTCTTGTGTGAATTGTTTGCCAAACAGTAATTTTTCGTCCTTATCTTCATGCTTCTCATCACTTGGATCACTGTTAGGAGGGAAAAACTGTACATGATCAGAAAATCTCACTCTTTTTTTACTCTTTTCATGTGTAAGATCTTTAGAATTGGGTCCTAACTTTGTCTTTTTCCTCTTTCTGATATTAGCTTCATCTATTTTGCTATCTGTTACCCCTTCTGTAGCTGTAATATCATCTTGACTGACACCAGCCAAGACATCTATCTGTCCTTCCTTTTTTTTCCTCTTTTCCTTTTTCCTTTTCTTACTCTTCACCTCGTCTATAACATTTACATCAGAGCCCTCGTTGAGCGTCTCAACCGCCATGGTTTCCTGTGTTTCGCTCGCACTTTCATGAGCAATTGCTTTGGTGTCAAAACTCGCATCATGCATTGTCAATGTCTCTCGCTCATTCTTCCACTTATTTTTCTTTTTCACAACATTTTTAACAGCATCCTTGCAACTGTCTTTACTGGATTTCCCGCAGCCTCTTTCTTTCTTTCTCTTGACGTCGCGATTTTCACTTTCTACGGGTGCTTTAGTTTCCATCTTTGCCTTATCCTTTTCTTTCCTGGTCCTTATAAAAGAGAGATTCTCTTCCTTGAAACTTAAATCACACGCAACAGCTTCGACATCACCCTTTGTCACTCCTAAACCATTGGAACAAGCACTTTTTTTCCTTTTCTTGGATTTCTTTTCCAACTTCATGAGCATACCAACCTTCTCATCTCCTTCGACCATGCCTCTTTCGGATAAGGATACCTGTGTGTCTTCTTGCAATGCACCAAAAGTGGTTTCTCTGCAAAAGGACAAATAGAGAGACAAAAAGAATGGTTAAGAGATGGAGTATTTTTACCATACCAATAAGTACATGATGTTTATGTTTTTAAAGAGTTTAAGTCATATACATCGTTAGCGTAACCAGTCTTATTTTGAAAATAGTAATAATATTAAAAGTCCTCAGTTTTGGAATTTCTGATTTTAAGTTGAGAGTCAAATGCATCTCAAATATAAAGCAAACCCCAAAAGAAAAATTAAATCGAACATCTATATAAGGAAAAAATGGTGCAGTTCCTATATTACCATCGCAAACTAAAATGGCTACACGATTAAAGCAAGACATTAAAACTTTAAACAGTAAATTTAACATCAATAAAAAGGAAGAAGTAGCTGCCATTTTGAAGAGAAAATAGAATTAAACTAATTAATTTTAAGCACCAAAGTAAACCCCTGAAGCTAGAAACTATTCTCTAATATATGAGACCTGTATTTGTGGGTAATCTTTGTAAAACTAGCATGGCTTAGAAGCCGTTTGATTTGTGCATATTTTTTGCAACAAGTGAATAATTCCAAGCAAATAAACTTCACCATTCTTTTGATTAAGCCACAATAAAGTTGATGCCATGTAACTAGAAGGTCACGGGCTCGAGTTGTGGAAACAGCCTCTTGCAGAAATACAGGATAAGGCTGCGTACAATAGACCCTTGTCCTTGTCCGGCCCTTCCCCGAACCCCGCACATAGTGGGAGCTTAGTGCACCAGGCTGCCCTTTTACAATAAGATATCCACCAGATCTAACACCTAAAAGTATTTGGCTTTTTCCTATCTAAGAGGGGAATCAAATTTTGCAACTAATATAGCATCAAAGAACCATTGTTTTACCTCTCCAGAGGCAGCTGCAACAGAGCAACATGTAACATTTCATTTCAAAACGCAAACTCTCTTTTGAAACCCAGAGACATAATCAACTTGAGAGCACCAACTCAAGAAAAGGGAGTTGGCAGTATGCTAAGGGGTCTTTTGGTTCACATACCAATTATGCGGAGATTATAATGTAGTGTTTGTTATACAAGAATTACTTATCTACCAAATCATGAGGTAAAACCCCTTATACTTAATGCAGATTTATTTAATACCGCCAACCAAATTCTGCATTCAAAATGCAGTTATTATTTATTCTTATGCAACCAACCGAAGGCTGCATTTGTTATGCATCAATTATTTTTTTCTTCTGTAACCAACCAAATACTGCATTATCTTATGTGGGATTTTTCGCAGAGATTAATTATGTCAATACTATTAACCAAACGAACACTACCTATCAAATTAACAAACTTAAATTTACAACAAATACCATAAGAGCACCAAGCAGGGGTGGAGGCACAAACCAAGCTATGGATTCGGCCGAATCCAGTAGCTTTTGCTCAAATAGTGTATTTGGTGTTTAGAATTCATTAAATATGTACGAATATAAAATTTAGAACCGAGTCATTAATACTTGAAGTTATCATTCTAAAATTCAAAATTCATAAGATTGAAATCGTGGTTCCGCCTCTGGCACCAAGTGTGTGACTAACATCATAAAAGTTTACTATAAATACCATAAGAAACAAGATTCAAATAGCAGAAAAGACAAAAAATTTAAGTGATTTCTTTTCATCCATCTAAGCTAGGAGTAGAATTCTCTACTACCCAATGCAGTTTTCCAGATTAACAACTAAATAAATAAAACCCGACCCAATATTTGCCTAATAGCCAGTGAAACAATTCCTAAATCACAAGATATAACAAAATATCAAAAAGCTTAATGGTTTTTCCAAATTTGTCAAACCTGAAATTCAAATCACTGGCGGGCAGCAAGAAGACGGACACTGCTTTGTGACAAAATGCAAAAATCCTTTCAGATTCGAACGTAATTTGATTTGTGGGATTCTCAGTTGAATTTCGGGTTTGAAGTATGGGCTCAATTCTACAGTGGGTAGAATTACCAGGCCTTCCTATCCAATATATTGGGCCAAATACAAAAAGACATATAAATTTCGGCCCATATAATTAAAAAAAGTAACCCGGTGCACTAAACTCCCGTTATGCGCGGAGACCGGGGAAGGGCCGGACCACACGGGCCTATTGTACGTAAACTTACCCAAAATAGCACGGTATAGCAAGTTTTCGGACTGGTCATTCAAAAATAGCCAGCATTTACCAAGTCAATGAAAAATAGCCACTATTTGGCTGCAACGGAGACCGGTCCAGCATAACATACTGGAGTTCGGTGCACTTGTGTATGAACTCTAGCATATTATGCTGGACCGGTATACATTGCTAGTTTCAGTATAATATACTGGAGACTGGAGCACATGTGTTCGAAACTCCAGTATATTATGTTGGACCGGTATACTTGCTAGAACTCCAGTATATTATGCTGGAGTTCTAGTGTACTTATGCTGGAACTCCATCATATTATGCTGGAGTTCCAACATACTTATCCTGGAACTCTAGTATAATATGCTGGAGTTCAAGTATACTTATGCTGGAACTCCAGCATAATATACTGGCGTATTTTCCGGGTTTTGAACAATGTTTTCGCTCAGATTTATCTTTACATGAAAAGTGGCTAAATTTCGATTACTTTTGAAATTGAGCTATTTTTAAACGACTAGTTGTAAATCTGACTATTTTTTAATTTCACCCTGTATTTTTCCGAGAAATTATTTCCACGACCCGAACCCGTGACCTCCTGGTCAGGCTCCCCTTCATATAATTTAGTGAGCTAAATTAATCTACAAAAAGAAAAGTTAGTTTTTTTTCCTGAAAGAAGAAGAAGAATTAACCTAAATAGTTGTCTCACATAGTCGCTAAACTAAAAATAGTCAACTTATGTATAATATATAAATAATTCTATATAATATGTGTAATTAAGTATAATCAGTATAATATATATATATAGAGAGAGAAAGTAAATAGTTAATCCAGCCGGACATTTTTAAGTCAAAAAAAAATTGAAAAAGGAAATTAGTTCTCTGGGTAAACTTTTCAATATGAAAAATTGAAACATAATTTAGAAAAGGACCTCAAAAAAGGCTGTCATCCAAATTTTCCATAAAATTTCTTCTTTTTTTAAAAGACAAAGGGATTAAGAAAGTCGTCAGGAAAACAAGACAATATTTTCGGTTAAAGCAAATAATTTTTCCAATGAAATTTATTTTAAGGAGAGAATTTAGAAATTAAAAATACTCTTAATATCGATAGTAGCTTCTGCTGAAGCAATTGTATGCTCCAATTAATTTTGAATCTTTTCGTGTCCACTTTTGAATTGATTAGATTTTGGAGATATTATTCGAGATTTTTTTATTTATATATTTCGATTTCGAAAACTTCTTCGTAGTGCCAAGAAATAAAATCCTTTGAAATTATTAGAAATTGCATAACTAAATTCAGCCTTATTTAGACGAGGCATTTTTTTTGTCTTGATCAAATAAGTAGAAAATGACAAATCAATCTCTCATCAACCAATACCATTGTCCATACTTCTAAGAGTTGTCACAATCAAAATTATAAAATGGCCATTTAAAGTCAAGCATTATTATGTGTAACATCATAACTAACATAATTGGCCCTATTCTAAAGTAACCAACTAGTGGCTATAGATGCAAAACAGATAAAAACATCAAAGTACAGTGTTCAAATGGACATTAATTGAAGATCCTAGTATAGTCTTTTATGGTTTCAAGTATCAACTTGTTAAATGACATGATGTACTCCTAACTGGATTTTTTTCTTTCTTTTTTATTGGCTAATTTGGACATAGAAGGATTGATATTCTTACATGAAAGTCCCTTTATCCTATTTTGCCAAACATAGGGTGTAAAAATGCCGTGAGATAGTCATTTTTTAATGTGGTATTTAGTTTTTATCTAGCATTTTTAATGCTGAACAAAAATAGTCATTGCTTTATTAAAATTAATACGAAAAGACGGGTATATCCTTTTTCATGAGTGTTGTATAAATATTAAGGACATTTTGTCCTTAATATTTACACAACACTCGTGAAGTTAAGAACATGTTGTCCTAAAGTTTAACAACAAAAGGTGCAAAAATAGGACACTTTGTCCTTAATATTTACACAACACTCGTGAAGTTAAGAACATGTTGTCCTAAAGTTTAACAACAAAAGGTGCAAAAATAGGACACTTTGTCCTTAATATTTACACAACACTCGTGAAGTTAAGAACATGTTGTCCTAAAGTTTAACAACAAAAGGTGCAAAAATAGGACACTTTGTCCTTAATATTTACACAATATTCATGAAGTTAAGGACACCATGTCCTTAATATTTACACAGCACTCATGAAATTAAGGACATTATGTCCTTAATATTTACACAGCACTCATGAAATTAAGGACATTATGTCCTTAATATTTACATTGTACACATGAAGTTAAAAACACCGTGTCCTTAACATTTACACTGCACATATGAAGTTAAGAACATGATATCCTAAAGTTTAACGGAATGTGCTAATTCAGGACACTTTGTCCTTAATATTTACACAACACTCATGAAGTTAAGGACATCATATCTAGCACAGGGGTATTTCGTCCGAGAGAGTAAAAACTTATTAAAACACTAGCTAAAAAGTGAATACATTTTAAACAATGACTTAAGAGTAAATACAGCTCTAATTAGTGGCTAACTATGCCCTTCTCCCACATAAGGTAAGGTTTGCAATCTTGATGTCATTGATAGTTTGTAGGAATGGCAAACGGGTGGGTCGGATCGAATATGGTTCGGGTCGAAAATAGATAATGAAAAAATGGGTAAACTATCCGACCCGACTCATATTTAATACGGATAAAAAATGGGTTAACCGACGGATAATATGGGTAACCATATCATCCATGACTTCTTGCATATGATTACATTTTGGAGAATTCTTAGTCTCCCTAACTTGAGGAACCCCCAATTTGAGGCTTTACAAATATAAAAGTTACACTCATTGGTTATCCATTGGTTACCCATTGGTTATCCATTTTCTAAATGAATAATATGGTTCTTATCCATATTTTACCCGTTTTTAAATAGTTCATTATCCAACCCATTTTTTAATGGATAATATGGGTGGATAACTATTTTCTTTAAACCATTTTGCCACCCCTAATAGTTTGTAAAGAAGATGAAACTTGAACCTAAATTATTAATTCCTTCAACTAAACGTGAGACCCTTAACATTTTTCCTCCTTTTTGCACGTCCAAGATTAAAAATCTAAAGCGTGAATAACATAATATAGGATGTCAACATCGAATAAAAAAAATAGGGATATGTTTGATGTTGATACCATATTAAAAATGTATCTTGCTCAATAATTAGTATTATGGGTACTAATTTTAGCGATCTTTTAACATGGAATGTAGTTAAAGATATATCGGTTCATATGAACTCAATAATGTTAACTCGAACCTTATATATTTAAAAGATTCATTAAATTTCAAAAATAAACTTCGAACCTAATAAATAAAAGATGTTATGGTATATCACTCCGAACTCGAAACCATTATATTCAGATCCTGAATCCACCTAGACTTTCAACCACTGCGATCCAATTGTATTTTTTCACTTTCCATATAACAATTTAAAAAGAAAAAAGGTAGTAGTAAACGTTGATTGATTTGATTTGTCAATATCACATTTCAACACCAAATTTATATTACTGGGAATTGAATGGTCTTCAGGCTTTTGAGTTGAATTGTCAGATTTGAAAGTAGAAAAGGACGGAAAAAATGACACTGTATGATCGTTTTTAAAATAATAATTAAAAAAATATGTGTGTATTATATATATATATATA